GTTCAACATGCCCACAAAAGCAAGCGATCATGGCTTTCAGAGCATCCGAAGGCGCTCCTCCAAGACTTCCTCAGGGTCATCTGTGTCGAACTTCCAGTCCATCGCCACTGGATTGATGTGGTTTCGCCAGCAAAAAACGCATTTGTTCGCACAGGAGACATTGGGGGTATGTTCCATGCACTGGTGCGAGGCGATGCCGTAAAAGGTGTGCTTGTAGCAGCCACCTTTGCCTCGGCAGGAGTCGCTCCCAGTGGCTTTTTTGCACTCCTAAGTCCGACAAGCACCCTGAATATCGACCTACGAGTACCTGCAGGCAACCCTGGCAGGGAATGTCACAGTATTTTATAATATAAAGTCAGGGGGACGAAGACAACCCAGATCTTGCATGATCTTACCAGGCAGGGAGGGAGAGGGAGGGAGATGGAGTACGGTTCGCAGTACATGGTCCGGTGAATGGAATTTCTGCCAGAACCCACCCATAGCAACAAAACCAGCAACCCCCAAGCTTGAGAAGCCGCCTTGAAGCATGGACTTCGTCCATCGGCAAAGCTTGGTGGCAGAGTGGCTGCCGACGACTTGCCAGCCCTGCCTGATCTTGCAGATGTTTCGATTCGCTATGGCGTGGGGAGTTACGACTTTTCGTTGCCTAGTGTTTGGCTCACAAGTTAGGACAGTTTCGGTGCTCACACTCGGACAATCCAGCCGAGGCATGTGGCCAACAGGTCGAGAGGTAGCAGGAAGATGACAAAGCAAATGTAACTTCAGCAACGAAATGAACAGGGCGCTGAGCGTGGCGGGGTGCTCCACGTAGTAACCAAGTGATCACAAGAAATCGTCACGAGTTCCGCGGCCCGAAATTTTAGTGGACTAGTTTGTGTCAAGCCAAGGGAGACTACTCCTGCACACCCAGAACCACCGAGTTCCCTGTACAAGTACTCCCTGCACTAGCTCTTATGTCGGTCTGCGCCTCTCCATCTTCTCACGCCGCTCCTGGCTGATCATGGCTGCACCTCCTCAGTTTCAACGCACTGAAGCTGCAAAGGGTAAGGCCTGGCAACTTGGGATTTCAGTAGGTACCACGACTCTACATCAATTACACAGACATACGGACCACGACCCAGCTCTCTGAACGGTGGTTTCCGATGCTGCATTGGCATTAAATAATCCAAAACCACCAGGACAACATACACATTGAGGTGCCTCCACTTCATGGTATCACACATTGCCTCCGCAAAGTCCAAAAACAGCGACCGGCCAGCCCCATGCATCCATTGGCAATCAGTGCCGCGTTCGCTACCGGGCACAACCTGTTTGATCGCGTCTGAATGCACCCGAGCGGCTCAAACCAGCAAGGCCCTGAAATCTGTCCAGAAATGGATCCACTTCAGAGGGGAGCAAAAGTTCGGGGATGCTTTGGTCCAAGCCTCGCACGCCTAACCGCCGTGGACGCGGCCCCACATAGCTCACGCGATGTAGCATGGCCACCGATACGTAGCGTTGATTGCGCTGCCTCTGTCCGAAGCAGCCTATGTTTCCAAGATAACGGTTTGTCCAGGGGCTCCTTCAACGAGCCTTCTTCCGCATCCTAGATACTCAGCAAATCTCAGCAAGGCCTCCCGAAAAATGAACGTTTGGAAGTGTTGTTCGATGGTCCCCACAAAGGAAGGTCTACTCGGCCGCCTGGAACGAAGTCTCAGGGTCCAACCATTCGGGACAGGTTGTATCCTTGTTGGGTAATTTGGAATGTGACATGTGGTCTAGGGCTTTCTTGCGACTGTGGCTTGCATAAACCCTGTCGACTAAATCTTGGTAGACTTTAACCGGGCTACTTTTTAACCACCTGCATAGAACTGACATGAACTGACTGATGTTGCTGCACTCCATATGGCTTGTCGCTTCGGCCACACTCACGCTGCGGAGCCCGACCCCAACACGACTTGAAGCAAGCCGAAAGGTGTGATTAACAAGGGCTGGGGGTGTAGGGATTATGCAGACTTCCATTGTTTCGGCATGTCGATGCGGCATGGTTGAAACGGGTCCTCAGGAGGAAATTGAAAATCCAGGTCCTTGTGTGGTGTCTACGACAGGCGCGACTACCAGAAACCGTCGCTCGCATTGCCAAGCTGCTACGGCTGTCGTGGACATCGTGCAGCCAGCAAAGAGTCTACAGAGTCTGCGTGGTACTGCTGCCCGCCTCACGAAAGGACTCCTGGATGGCCTCCGGAAGCAACTCCTCGGCGCCAGGCTTACGACCAGGTGCGTGTGAGGCTGTGATGTGTGCAGAACGCTACGAGAGCGTTCTTCAACAAAGAACAACCACAACAGCAGCAACGGAAACGGCAACAGCAACCGCAACCGCAACCGCAACAACAACAACAACAACAACAACAACAACGACGACAACGACAACGACAACGACAACGACAACCACAACCACAACCATAACCACAATCACAACCATAACGACAACCACAACAACAACCACAAC